CCTTCTTTTTTTCAATTATTTTCCACAGGCAATAATACAGGTATGCATTGACTAAAATTATCTCGTCTATGATATATGTGTGGAGATAAAATTGACCCCAAAAAATTGTTTCTCGGGCTTGGAAATGGATACTTGTCCATTGGATTAGGATCCCACCCAAAACTACCCTTGCTTGACGAACATTAAAACGACACTTATTTTTCGTAAATTTAAAATTTTTTTTTTCTCTTTTTAAGAACAAATTTTACAAAAAAATTACTATTTTAAAACTCATTTTCCAAAAAAAAAAAAAAAAAATCTCATTTCAATAATTGTCAAACAAGAGCTAAATTTGGACCAAAACGATGGTTCCAGTTACAAAACTAACGACGTGTCCTATTCTTAATAGAGAACCAAAAATTGCAAATGAACATATTAAATTTTTTTATAAAACCCACAATCTTATCGTAAATAACTCGACAAGTTATCAAAACCCGAGTTATAGGCTTCTTTTATTATAACATGTTTCGGATCCAAAATCTTAGGGAATCTTCAAACTCCACTACAAAAAAATAACCGATTTCGCGACAAAGAAATGTTGTGGCAAAAATTGAGATTTTGTTACAAAAATAATTTAACAACGACAATATGTTTGTTGCGGGTATTGTCTCTCTATATGAGTCAATTTTCGGCCGTTCATCGCATTAAGAAAATCACGATGCTATTTGTTTAACGCAGAAAATACGACTTTTTTTATTATTTGTCGCAACTTATCACATTTCACGACAACTTCTTATGTCGCCTTATATTTTTTGAGACTTTTTTCCTCACAATTTTCTCGACAAACTTTAAAAATGGGACGCATTAAGTCACTTATTGCGACAACGTTTTGTATATCACATAAAATCTTATAACGAAATCACGGTTTTGTTGTAGTACATGACAATTAAATAGAAAAAAATTTAAATTACGTGGCATTGATATCTACTAAACCAGTTCAAAATGGTCATAGTGAATTTCTCTACAAGCCAAAACTATTGTGTAGGTGGCATTTGTTTAAAATAAAACTACATGACTGATTTATTCCATGAGAAATGATCAAAGTAAACACCATTTTTCTTGTTTCCTGGAAAAATCAATGGAAACTATCGGCCATTGTGATAATTGATTCAAACCCATTTTTTTTGTGATTTGTTGCGTTTTTTTATAGCACAGGTGTATAATATCGTAATAAGTAATATAGTGAACATTTGAGTCCAGCTGATCTTTTCTACGAGGACCATACTTTTTAATACCTAATTTAATATTTGTAACTTCTAATTGACGAAAACAAAAAACTATGATTGATGTGATTGCTATTCTAACTATATCTACCAATTAATGCACACACAAATCGATCTAAACTTCAAATATGGAATGAGATATTAGGGTATAACAATTCCATCTATTGATAAACTTTAAGTCTTAGTTCAAGATTCACATATTTAATGTAGTATTCGATCGAATTCTTCTATTATATTCAATTTACCTAGATTATTTAACCAGTTCAATCCCATATCTTTATGTGAATCAATTTTAATGAAATCATTATTTGATCTAAGAATTCATATAATGGCCACAATAATTAATGTTGTTATCTTTACATTTTATACTAAATTATCGAATTTTACTATGTGGTCTAAATTTAAAACTCATCTCTCGATTCGTAAAAGATTTACAAAATCATTCAATTATTATCAAGTAATTCAAAACGTTAAATTCATTAATAAAATCAACCCATATATGATGAAAGAACTAGAATCTTGAATAAAAGAAATAAATGGTCTCAAATAGATGATATCGTTCCCTAATAAAAATGTTTATCTACTCATAATGTATGAAGAAAAAATAACAATAATGGAATATTT